ACATTCCTCCTCTAGGGTAATTCCTACAGGCAAGGCTTGTTATCTTTGTTTAAAGTATAAACTATCATCTCTTGTTTACCGAACTGCCTTAGAGAGAAGGGTATAGTTTCTTACAGACTAAGGAATTATACTTACCTCTTGGACATTACTATAAACCTATAAAGGATTTCTGTAGCTGTGTCGTTGTTATAGTACTGCTGTTAAGAAGGCCACGGTACTGTAACAATACCATTATCATTTATATAAAATAGTTATAAATTGGTGATGTTCTTTTTTTGAATTTTTTTTTTGTTGCTTGTAATATTTACACTATCAATAATATTAATGTTTGAATGATTTTCATAAATACTTTCATTTTAAGAATTAAAAATTGAAGAATCAGTATCAAAAATTGAAGAAATGGAACTAAGAATTGAAGGAATTAAATCAGGAATTGAAAAACCAAGATCAGAAATTGAAGAAACAGATTGGAAATTAAGGAATAGGTAAGTTAGAATGTAATATTTGTAAAAATTTAGATTTTAAAGATTTAAGAAATGAATTTAATACTTGAAAGAGATTTATTTTAAAGAAATTAAAGTATAATAAAAAAAATTCAAGGCCTTTTATTCTGTTTTAAGTTATTGTTGCTTAACAAAAGAAAGTAGAAATTAATGCACAAATTAATAACTCATATAATATTTTTTTAAAATTATTAAAAGAAGATTATACTTGCAACTATTTAATAAATCTAATAATAATTTATTTAACTTTTAATAAATTCTTATTATTAAAATTAATTAATATATGATTATATTATTATTATTTATTAATTCATATGATTAACTATATGCAATATTAATATTAAGAGAATATTAATTAACTCCTAACTCATTAAATAATTAATATAAAATATTAAATATGTAATTATTGTGTATTCAAAAAAAAATATGTATACTCTTTCTGATAATCATTTGAATCAAATTTTCCAAAAAGCTGAACTACAAAAAATGATATCATTAATATATTAAACTTTATAAAAACCTTTTTGAAGTACTGTACATGCATTATTGGACATTGAAATAGAGTTGAAAAAGAGTCACAGCCTTGTGGTAATGGTTTAAAAAGCACTCTAAGATTATATAAAAGTAGTTGATAAAAGTCAAAGTTTCTCATTAAATAAACAACAAAGTTGAATATATTAGTCTATACAACTGTAAAACTTACAATAAACACCTATAAGAGTTAAAAACTCACAAAAGCTAAAAGTTGGTTCAACTAGGACTCTCACTTTTTCTTCAAGAAAAATTTTATAAAAGTGGATAATTTAGTTTACTTCCTACTAAAGATTAGTACATAAAATTACCAAAACAGTCAGCAGTGTTTACTTTCTAAACAGGATTGTTTACAATATAGATCAGAAATAATATAGCAATACAAACACAACTATACATATGCCTTGAGCTGCTGAAAATCTGTCAAACACTGCCTTCAGACTAACCAGTATTCTATACTAATCCTCTATGATAAAGTTGAAGTTTTTTCTTCTTTTTGGTTTTTTGTTTAAATAATCTAAGTAAATAAGAAAATAGTAGAGTAATTTCTATTTAGTATAGTTTATAATTTTTACAAGCCTGACATAGGCTTATAATTGTAATTGTCTAATATTTGTAAATTACAAGTTTCATGCTCAACACAGGCTTAAAATCGTGATCGTTTGATTTTGTGAATTGTAAGTTTCACACTTTCCTTTTTTCTCATTTTTTCCTTTCTCTTTTTTATTTCTTGTTTTATATTTTTTATTGTTTACCTCTATATCTCTGTTTTTTTTTATATATAAAATCTTTTTTTTTTGTTTTTTTGCTTTTCTATGAGAAAACATCATCAGATTGGTAGTATCCTATTGTAGGGCAGCAGTTAGACGAGCAGTTTACTTTTGTTTAAGGTAGTACAGCAGGTTGCACTTAGGTACCAATAAGATGGCTAGGTGATGCTAGACTTAAGTATTAGGAAAATTCTCTATAATCTGTATAGTATTAAGAATTCTAATAAAGTACTAGTGTAACTGCTTAAGTTAAAAAAAAAAAAAACTAATATTAAATAATAATAATAATAATAAAATAATAATAATAACTAATAATAATAAAATAATAATAATAATAAAATAATAATAATAATTTTTTTTTTTTTTAATATTAATGGTAAGGCCATATCTTTATCTTTATTAAATATTTAAATGAAATTTTACATAAAGTACAATTCTGCTTTTAAAATATTATAAAAGGAATAGAAGTTTAAACTAATTTATCTGTGACCTAAACCAACCAAAGTGGCCAAGACTCACCTAGATTTGAGTATTAGTAATTATGTATAGGGGATTAGTTTAATATTTAATCTATTGAATATACTAGGAGTTTATTTTTAAACTAATAGAATTGAGTGAAAGGGAATGTAATGAAAGTGAGCCAGCATTTGAAGGTGTATTATATTCAGAAGTTTGAGCTATAGATCTTGAGATATAATATAGAATCCAGATTTTGTGATAAATTTATTGATTAAGATAAAGTAAAAACTTGTTAACAAGTATTGTAACTACTTTTTTGAAAAACAGATTTGCAATAATGTTAATAAGTTCATTTGGTATTAGACCCATTAGAGTTGAAAAGATTGAAGGTAAATCTGGTATGCTGTAAATAGTCATATTACTTAACAGCTTAATTTAGTTGTATAAATTGGTTATAGTATTTGAAGTAATGACAAGTGTTTTGGTGTTTAAAGTATGTTGTAATGAAATATCTATCTCTTAGATTGTAAACTTTTGCAGGCAAATTTGCCTGTATAATTGTATTTTTTTGGCTCTAATCTGCTTTTTTAAAATATTAAAGATTTAAATAAAATTTGATATAATAATATTTGAAAATAAGGATTACTTTTTTGTAGTATTTATTTTTAAATTATAAGAAAA